TCAAAATTCTTACTGAAAGAGCATGAAATTAGCATGAATTTGTAGTATGTCTGAGCATTGTTAACAAGGAATAGAAAAGAGACTTACGATGATGCAGGTAGAACCAGGATTGTCTCCACTGAATTACAATGTTGTACTCTTAAAGGGGCTAAGGCTCCTATATACTTCTTTCCCCCTCTTCTGCTGCAGTGACTAAGAGTGTCAGATAATCAGGAGAGGAGTAATGTGATACCTGGGGTTGTCTTAGAATGCTGTGTAAAGGCAAAAGGTCTTTGGCTTGGAAAAGAAGGCTTCTTGTTTAACTTCTAAAAAAAAATGTGGTTTTAATTAATAATTGAGAATTTTAATAAAGTGTTAGCGTAGCACAGTTGAATAAGCGTATATTCTGCCCAGAATTGTTGCCCAAAAGAGGTAACAACTGTTGAATTTAACTAAGTTGTTGCTTAGCATCCCTGTGCCATTCCTAATTACAGGGTGGCAGTGTGACTTCTCTAGCCAGGTAAGGGGATATTGCAAAATGTGATAATGTTACTTTTTAAAAAATTAGAAGGCTAGGTTGATTCTGGTTGGCCACATTCTCCTACTCTTCCTGTCTCCCTTCTTTGGGAATCCTGTGTCCCACCTTGTGCTACAGTCCTTGGGCAGTTTGCCAGACATGGCATGGTTTGCCTTTACTCCCTCACCATCCTTAGATCTCTCTGCTGGGAATGCCCTCTTCCTGCCCTCTGTCCTGCTTGGCAACTCCAGTGTATCTTCCAAGAACTGCCTGATTTTTTGAAGTCTTGTACTCACCAGGGCAAATTTAGACATACAACAACTAAAAGCATATAATAGTTACCAATATACTGTGTATATTCTTATACTGTCTATCTTTCTTTGTATGTGTACACATATCTGGACATACATACTTCCACGCATGTACTTTGTCTAGTGTTTATATCTGTGTTCCTTATTGAGTGCTTGGCACTCCCAGTATATGGGCTGCCCTACTTACTGGTTGAAATGGATGAAAACATTTAAAAATAAATGAAAACCACATTGAGATTCTCTGTATCTAGAAACAGACCTAAATGCACAGGGAAGGAAACATTTACTCATTTGCCTGACTCCATGTTAGAGACTTTATAGACGTTACCTTAGAATGCGTGTCTTAAAAAGTCTTTCCCTTTATTTTGTAGATGAGGAAGCAGACCCAAATTAATTAGGTATTTGTGTTAAGTTCATATAGTTCATGAGTAGCAAAACATGAGATTTGAACCCAGATCTGTCTTACTTTGAAGAGCCTCTATCCTTTTCACACCACTGTTCACTGTCACTATGTAGAGGTTAAATTAATCATCTTGAAACTTCCACATGGGTCCAACTTTAAACTTTTACATTTTCCTTAAATTTAAAATAGCTAAAAATTGGACCATTGCTTTCTGCTCCTTTGGATTTCCTTTGGTGCTGGTGCAAGGAGCTGAGAATAGGTAGAGGATACATCCTGAACTGTAAGGATATTTTCTCTCTTCCACTATATAACCTCTTAGCTTATTACAAAGGGAAGTATTCTGTTTTATAAGTTAACAAAGAGAAGTGTCATTTTTCTGTTGTTAACGTTCTCATCATTTTTTTCTTGATCTCTCAGTGTGTATTGTAACACACTTGGTTTTTATAATTTGGGAGTAGAAGGATCTGTTGAGTCTAATTTCCTATTAGGAATTCTCTTCTATTAGGGTTCTGTTAGAATTCACTAAAACCCACAAGTTTTCATTGAACGATTGAAGAGTGCACTTACGATGACGAGCACTAAGTAACGTATAGAATTATTGAATCAATTATATTGTGCACCTGAAATTAATATAACACTGTATGTTAACTCTACTGGAATTAAAGTAAATACTTAAGTAAAAAAATTTTTTTAAAAAGATGTCATATAGCTTTTTCATGGAAGCATTTATTTTGTAATTAAATGTGGGGTTTTGAAAACGTGAAGATTGCCCACTTAAGTGTTTATTGGAATCCTGTCTCTCATGCAGAGCTTGCAAGTCCTCTTCCTTTTTCTACTCCATCCTGGTTGCCCTTCAGCTAAGACATTAAGTTTCCTGGGGAAGAGGAAGTATAGGAATTTGGGGAGGTCAGGTAATTTGAAAAAGCATTTTAGAGTGATCATTGTCTTTAATATGCTTTTTGGTCAGTTTGAAATTTCAAATAACATGAAAAGATGACCTGATTTTTCTTACTTCATCAGTGGAGGAGCCTAGGTTTTTAAGGCTGTGAAGCCCTAAGGGCTGCTGCTGCCATAGTGTCAAAGCCTCTGTAAACTTAAATAAGTTAACCAGAAAGAAGATGCTCAGGTGGGGTATGGAGGCATGAAACGTCTCTCTTCATCTGCAGTAATGGTCCTTGTCTTTGTCTTTTGTGTAATACTAATATCACCACTTTGGCTTTTTTAGGCTTACTGCTTCATGTTATATCTTTGGTGTAAAAGAAAAAAAAATTATTTTCAACCTGTTGGTTGAAATTTTGGCTTTAAAACTATGTCTCTGGTGGATAGGCTATAGTTAGTTGGGTGTTACTTTTTTATTAGTTGGGGATCTCTGCTTTTAAGTGTATAGTCCGCTTATACGGTATGTAATTACTGGTCTGGTTGGATTAGGTCTGGTTTTTTTCTATCTGTCTCTCTTTTTTATCCTCTGTTGCTTTTTTCCTGACTTTCTTTTGGGTTAATGATATTTTTTAGTATTGCATTTTAATTCCCCTATTGGCTTTCTAGCCATTCTTTTTTGTGTATTTTAGAGAGTACTCACAAGGATTGTAACCCTTAATCACTGTCTAGTTAGTGTTCTTGCATAAACTATAGGATCCTTATTAACAGTTCAGCTACATTTACTACCTCTGTGTTGTCTGTTTTATCGGAGAATGTTATTTACTGTACCATCACTCAGTATATGCTGTAGGGTTTTTTCGTTAGTGGTAATAGTCTTTTTTTATTGATTATTTTTATGTTTCTCTTCTTGTAACCTGTGGCAGACATTTGCAAGATAACTGAGTAAGACTTAAGTGTGTACTCTGTCATATGGGAACCAAATCCTCATGGCCTCCATAAAGATGAGATCCAGAGCCTTATTAGTCCAATCAAAAACTGATGAAGAAATCTTGAGTTCAGAAAGGAGGGTTCAGGCCAGGATGAATCCACAGATACTGGCAGGAGAAAACAGTTCTAGGAGATAAAAGTGAAGCTTTGTCACCATTGCCTGTGCCAGAGTGGAACATCTCCTTTTGTAGAGAACTCATTCATTGTCAACCGTGGTGGTTAGAGTGGTGTCCAGATGTGAAGCAAAATACAGTTTTGTTGCCTTCTTAAATATGGTTGTTCCACAATCTGCATTTGAATTAGTAGGGGTATTTATTAAAAATGAGTGTTCCTGGAGCTTACCCCAAACCTCCATAATCAGTATTTGACTGTGCCACCTGCTGTCTGCATTTCAAGTTAAGTGCTCCAAGCTTGCCTTATACACGGCAATGTTGGACAGTCGCCACTCTAGGAGTCCTGGCTTTCTAAGGACCAGTATCATGATTTTAATGGTTATCTTTAAGATTAACAAGTATGAGACTGATGAAACAGTTTGGTCATAGTCATAGAATTCTAGAGCCTGCATAAAGGTACCTTTGAGGTCATGCTAGCTCAACAGTCCTGTACTAGAAGGAGAAAAACAGAGGCCAAATAAGAGTATCTGAGTGGTTTTTACAACTTTCTGATTCAAAATAAATACTGTGCTATGAATTATAGATCAGCATAAACTGTATAAAAGTTGTCTGCACTATGTAAGTAATTATTTTAATGTTAGGTGTTATTTTTAATCCAGTTTGAAAATCTCTGCCTTTTAATTGGGGGTATTGATACTATTTGTGCTCAGCAAGGTTATTGACATGGTTGGGTTTAAATCTCACAGCTTTCTGTGTGTCCTGTCTCCTCTTTTATCCTCTTTTTTTGCCTTTTGTATGGAATATTTTTTTTATGATTCCATTTTATGGCCTTATTGGCTTACTAGCTATATATCTTTGGTGGATTTGGGTTTTTTTTTTTTTTTTTTTTTTTTTTGATGTTTAATGGCTACTGTAGAGTTTCTGATTAGTGTACATCTTTAAACAGTCTGCCTTCAAGTAACATGTTATCTTCTCACAGTGTTAAGAACAGTGTACTTTGCCCTTTTCCTGCCTTTGTGCTGTTGTAGTCACACATCTTAACTTCTATATATGTTAGAAACCCGAAGTACATTTTTTTAAAGTTTTTATTTAAATTCCAGTTAGCATATAGTGTAATTAGTTTCAGATGTACGATACAGTGATTCAGCACATCCATTCAACACCTGGTGCTCATCACAAGTGCCCCCCCCAATCCCCATCACCTATTTCACCGACCTCCCCTCTGTTCATTCTAGTTAAGAGTAGATTTTTTATCTTTTTTTTTGCATTGCATATTTTTACTTTAAACAATTATCTTTCAAAGAGATTTTTAAATAAAGTCTTTTGTACAATTGGTATAATTTTCTTTTTACTTGAAGGACTTTAATAATTCTTATAGTGTGGGTTTGCTAGTGATGATGTCTGTCAGCTTTGTGTGTTTGAAATCTGTATATTTGAAAGATATGAATTTCAGAGATATTTTAAGGATGTTTATTTATTGGCTACAGAATTGTAGGTTGACTTTTTTTTGTTTTGTTTTTGGTTTTTTTTTTTTTTTTTTTTTTTTTCTTTTTTCTTTTAGTACTTCAAGGAATGCTCTTCTCTCTCCTGGCTTATATTGTTTCTGATGAGAAGTCTGCTAGAATTCTTACATTTGTTTTTTTTTTTTTTTTTTTTGCTTAAAATGTGAGTTATTCTGACTGCATTGCAGAATTTACTTTACCAGTGTTTGACATTTTATTTAGAAGTTGTTAGTGTTCTGATTGAACATGTAAGTTCTCAGTGATCACACTGTGCTGAGTTTTCATAGCCTCTGTCCCCTCTGTTTCTAGAGACAACTAGACATACCTGTAGAAAAAGGAGAGGGAGCATCCTTGAGTCTTTCATGGCTTGAATGTAAGAGTTGATGTAAGAATCTCTTGTGATCCTTTATATCACTCCAGAAACATTAAAGATAGTCTTACTTATGCTGCTTCAGACAGGCAAGGGTACTTTTTAGTTTCAGAGTGTTATAAGGAATATTTCTGATGTCTCTGATAGTTGGTGTGGATGACTACAGCTCAGAGTCTGATGTGATTATTATACCTTCAGCCCTGGACTTTGTCTCACAAGATGAAATGTTGACGCCACTGGGGAGACTGGACAAGTATGCTGCAAGTGAGAACGTGTTTAACAGGTATGTGCCTATTCTTTTCCTCGTGGAAGTGGAAGGATTAATTATTACGTTCATTTCAATAGGGAAAATCCAGTTTTTCAGTTTAAAGTAGTATTAACATGTGTAGTCTCAGCCAGCATGTTTTGTTAATAATCACAGCCAAGGCCTCTTTTATAATTGTTTATTCCTTGATCCTAGTAAGCATGTGACACTCTTTGTTAGCATTTTGGCAAAAAAAGAAAACCCAAAACAAATAAAAACACCATTACCTTTTTGGTGTTCGGCATAATTTTAATATTTGTGTAAAGTGATCACTGAGGGAAGTATATTATTCTTTCAACAGATGATGCTGTAAACCTACTATGTGCCAGGTGATGTTCAAGGGGATTGGGACGCTTCCTAATGCGTTGTTTCTCCAACTGTGGTCCCCAGGATACCTGTATCAGTTTTCTGGGAAATCTGAAAGTCTTAAATTTTTTGAGTATAGATGTATAAATCTCAGTAAAAATGTGTGAAGGTAATATTTTACAGAATGAGGAATGTGTGTATTTTCCTATAATTTGATAGTTGAAGATAACTGAAATTTTGTAGAATTTTCAGTGACCTTAGAAATTTGTCACTTCAGTTAAAGATGAAAAATATTTTGGTAAATACTCAGTCTCTTGTTAACAATAAAATCCATGCTGGTGTTTGTCACTTAGGAGATTAGTAACTTAATGTATGTTATAAAATATCTTAAGAAAAAAATTCTTTAAAATCATGTAGAGTCTACCTTTTGGAATTCTAAATATTACTTATTAACACTGCTAAGCACTATATCATTTTCTTTTTCTTTTAGACAAATGGTGGCCCGGAGTTTGCTGGACACATTGAGGGAAGTCTGCGATGATGAAAGAGATTGCATTGCTGTTTTGGAAAGAATTAGCAGATTAGCTGACGATTCAGGTATACATTTATGCAGAGAAAGGTTTCTTTAACCAAATTTGAGGTTTTATGAACTAATGAAAAACTTAGTGTATTATGAGACTTCTTTAAAAGATTTCCTAAATAAATTACCAAATACATCAGTAAGAAAAAGAAAAAAAACTTTGTAAGAGCCACATTTTGTGGTTGGTTTAATTTTGGAAATTTCTCATCAGAAAAATCTACAAGTTGTTTTTGCATCATGTATGTTAATATTTTAGGATTGCTGAAAACTTAAAAATAATTTTGAATAAATTTTAAAAGGGATGGAGTGAGCTATAACTTTTTTAAGGCAAATATAAAATGCTTCTATCAGTCATGATAAAACTAGAGCGTTTGTCTCCAAGGAGAAGATAGGATGGTCTGCTTAAGAAAGAGGTAAACCTGCGGTGCCTGCGTGGCTCAGTGGGTTAAAGTCTCTGCCTTCCGCTCAGGACATGATACCAGAGTCCTGGGATTGCAAGCTGGCTCTCTGCTCAGCAGGGAGCCTGCTTCCCTTCCTCTCTCTTTGCCGGCCTCTCTGCCTACTTGTGATCTCGGTCTGTCAAATAAATAAATAAAATTTTTTTTTAAATGTTTAAAAAAAAGAAGTAAACCTGACTTCAATATGGTTATATTAAGTTTCTTAATATTTTTTCTTGAGGCAAAATATGCATAACATAAACCTTACCATTCTAACTTAATCTTAAGTCATATGCATATCTTTATTTTTTATTTTAGAAACAATTCAAAAATAATTTTTTTTCTTAAACCGATTCTCTTTATTAAAATGTCTTATTTTTCACTTTCTAACAAACTTTTTGGCATGTAAGCACTCTGATTTTTAATTTTTAGATGGGCTCATCTTTTGGTGAGCAATTTGTTTTATGGGACTATGTTTTACTATTTACATAAGCCTTAAGTGTTTTTTTATTTTCCTATAGAGTAGAAAAAAATTCATAAGCTTACAAATAATCTGTCTAATGGTGACATCTAATGATGATATATGTACTTGCTTATATATGTATGCTTGTTCCAGAATGGTTTTAGGAGAATCTCCTCAATTATAATTTTCATTACTTATTTTTTGCATTGTGGCTATTCCTTAGTTATTAGAATAGATATTCTTTAGGGAGAAATTTGTGTTTATTTTCTTTTACCTGTTTGTCACCCATAGTACTTGTTTTTATAAATATATTTATCTATATATAGTTGACCCTTGAACATGGGTTTGAACTGTGCAGGTCCATTGATTTTTTTTCGTTGAGTACAGTACTTTAAATGTATTTTCCTTATGATTTTTTAATAACATATTCTTTTCCCTAGCTTACTTTATTGTAAGAATACAGCATACAATACGTAAAACATAAAAAGTACGTGTTAATCGACTTGTTATTGGTAAGGCTCTCAGTCAACAGTAGGCTAATAGTAGTCAGGTTTTGGGGGTGTCAAAAGTTTTATGTGGATTTTCTACACAGGGAGGGGTCAGTGCCCCAGCCCCTTAGTTGTTCAAGGGTCAACTGTATATTTTTTTTTTAAATATACTCTCAAGTTTTTGAGTTCATGGTAAATATCTCTATTGACTTTCACATTTTTTGTTCATTTGATAAGCGTAATACAGTGCACAGTCCTAGGCCAGATTCTAGAATAAATGCTAGAGCAGTTACTAAGGTGAATAAGAATTCCTGTCATCAAATTAACAGTTTAATGAATGCAAATAACTTACAAATAATACTTTATAACAGGGAGAGTTGTTGCTGGTTTCAGAAAGTTAGTGACATTTAGTTAAAGTTAGTAGAATAATGAGGTACAGAGAAGGGAAACAGCATACTCAGGAGAAGAAAAGACTGGTTTAGAGGATTAAGGAGTTCAAAATAGTGGCCCATTTGGTCAACAGGTAGTTTACTGAGTCTACGGCTTAAAATAATGAGGCTGTTCAATAAAGCAGTCGAGGGCTAGATTGTAGGGGTCCATACCGTGCCATCCTAGAGTGTGTTTTTATGATATAGAACAGTAATGTACCAGTACAGACACTTGGTGACATAGATGGGCAACAGGAACACTTGTTGGGGAGCTCTGTTACTTTAATATTGAATAAAACTCACTACAAAAAGTACATGGACTGGGGTGCCTGGGTGGCTCAGTGGGTAAAGCCTCTGCCTTTGGCTCAGGTCATGATCTCAGGGTCCTGGGATCGAGCCCCGCCTCTGGCTTTCTGCCCAGCAGGGAGCCTGCTTCTCTTCCTCTCTCTCTGCCTGCCTCTCTACCTACTTGTCATCTCTCTCTGTCAAATAAATAAAATCTTTCAAAAACAAAAAAAAAGTACATGGACTATAAATTTTCAGCTCCATGAAGTAAAGCAAAATGAAGGCCCATGTAATTACTACTCAGATCAAGAGATAAAACTAGCATCCCGGAAACCATTTCAGGGCACCTTCTCATTTCTGTCCTGTTCTTCTTTCCCAAGGTAAATCCATGTTTTGACCCCTAAGTGTGTAGATTAATTTTCCCCTCTGAACTTTTATATGGAATCATACTGAAAATGTTCTTTTGTGTCTAGCTTCTTTATACTTCTGAAGCTTATCATGTTGGTGTGTAACTGTATGTATAGATTTTTTAAAATTGAAACAGAAAAGAGTTGGATGAAAAAAACTTACTAAATTAGTAGTAAATTTAAACAAGCATTTGCTATATGAAAATCCTAAAACTATGAGTAATAACTTTAGGGAAATAAAAAAATCAAGATAAAAGTTGATAAGGATAAGGCAGATGAAAGATTTAAAGGTTCTAAGCTCCTTGTTTGCTTAAGAGAATGGAATATATGCATTAATTTTACAACTGTATATTTTTCAGTAGTCATGATCAGCCCAGCTTATCAAGTTAGAAACCTTGGACTCAACTCCCTTTTCTTCATTCTCTTCAGCCATCATAGTAGCTCTGAAATCCCTCCCCAGCACTTCAGTTCCTCCCATATGACTCACAGTGTGTTCATTTCTTGACTCTGTTTTGTTCCATTGGTCTGTTTGCCTAACCAGGTCTTTGAAGAAAGAAAAGTTACTGATCACATTCTTTTTCTTTTTTTTTTTTAAATATTTTATTTATTTATTTAAGAGAGGGACTGAGCAGTGGGGAGGGACCAAGGAAGAGGGAGAAGCAGACTCTTGGCTGAACAAAGAGCCTGATGTGGGTGAGAGCATGACTTTAGCCAAAGGCAGACGCCCAACCAACTGAGCCACCCAGGCACTCCTACTGATTTCATTCTTAACCAGAACTGTAACTTGTATCCTTCTTTTGCTTCAAAAATATGTATAATTATTAGGTCCATGTAAGCAAATACAGGGTCAGTGAGGAAAAGGAGAGGCCTATGTCTTTTTTTTTTTTAACTAATTATTTTTCAAAACAGAAGCACTATTTTGTTCAGTTACTGTCTAACTTCAAATGGCAGAACCATGTAATAGAAATTCCAAATATTGGTTTGTTGATAAGATTCTTAGCTTTGTAAGATGCTAGTGCATTTTCTCCTGATGCTTTCATTAATTTCTGTTTGTTGAAATCTAAAGTTCCTCTGGACCCATGCATGCATATTTACCTTAAAGTAACTGTAATGATATAATCATTAATACCAAGGTTCTAATTAGGTCTGATGTAATGAATTGTATTGATAATCTGTCATGTCTGTATGTGTCTTGGTCATTTGCATTTCTTCTGAGAACTGCTTGTTCTTATCCTTATTTTCTTCCTTGTGTTCATTTAAACAATGGGTTCTTTGTATATTTAGTTATTAATACTTTGTTATATGTATATTTTCTCCCAAGCCAGCTTGCCTTTTAACTGAGTATGGTACCTGTTGTCTATAATGGAGGCTTTATAAAGTGGAATTAGTTGGTCTCAAAGTTGGTTTGGGGGTTTTGTTTGCCTTGGAAGGGCTTCTCACCTCAAGATTAAACATTTTTTTTAATGTTGTCTTTTAGTGCTTTTGATCTTTAAAAAAAAAATGTTTGGAACTTTAATTAACAATTCATGTATGATATGCAGGATAGGCATCATCCTTTTTTCTCACATAACTGATTCTCCTGCCATTACTCTGTCTTAAAACCCAGAGATTTGAAATGCTATATTTGTCATTCTTTTGCTGTACATACTTGGGTCTTTCAGATTTTTTGTTTCTTTAAATTGATTGGTCTACTTTATTTTAATCTTAGTTAATTTTAACTATAAATTCTGTATTCATTGATTAAATTTAGGTTAGGAACCGGTCCTTATGACTTGTCCTAGGAGGCTCTTAAATAGTTCATAGATATTACATATTTTGTTGATGTGAATATTGGATATTTAACCCCTAGCATATGTGACACAATTAGGTGATGGATAAATTTGGTCATAATAGGAAATGATTGCATACTTAGTGCACAGTAGGAAGATAGAAGCCTGGGGATGGGAGTAGGATCTTCCTTTTACTTGAAGCGTTGACCTGCATATGATTGTGAAAAAGGATCCTAGAGTTAGAGTACACTGTGTAAGTCCCTTTTATGCTGAGGATGGAAGTCCAGAGCTTTCCTGAGTAGTCTTAAGCCCAGGCAAAGATTTTGTTAATTTGGGGTAATGTGTTTGTTCACATTTCTGTTATTTCAATAGAACCGACGGTGAGAGCAGAGCTGATGGAACAGGTGCCTCATATTGCATTGTTTTGTCAAGAAAACCGGCCTTCAATCCCATATGCTTTTTCCAAATACTTACTGCCTATTGTGGTTAGATATCTTGCAGATCAGAATAATCAGGTAAGAGTGCCATTTACATATTCTTACATTTACCATGTTGTATGTAGAATGGCCTCTCCTAGCTGGTCTCATTTGAGTGCTTTTTCCTCTTCAGCTTCATTATTCTGTTTTTCAAAATGACTTTGTGTCTTAGACAAGATATGTTGAGAGTCTGGCAAATCTAGAAAGTCCCCTTAATGCCATGATAAGACAGTGCCCAGTAGCTGCATTCTTACATGGTACCCTCGTGGGTGCCCCTCAGAAAGTTTGCTAATTAGAGAGTCACTGTTCACAGGGGTGGCTTTCCTTTTGCACATGTGATAGCATGTGAGCTGGGAGGAGGGGCAGAGGGAGAGGGAGAGAAGCCGACCTCCTGCTGAGCAGGATACCCAATGCAGGGCTCAGTCCCAGGGTCTGGGATCAAGAGTTGGGTGCCCAACCGGCTGAGCCACCTGGGCACCCCACAAGGATGGCTTTCCTGTTCCAGTTCATTTGTCGTATCACAGTCTGCCAAGTTCTGTCTTGGCAATAGCTGGAGAAAATAGCAACAAGTTTTTTATTTGCAAAGTTTTGCCAGTTATGAATCCCTTTAAGTTGAGATGAAAAGTCTTCACTTTCGTGAAAATCAAGTAATAGGGTCTTGTTACATCATGTATGTATTTTGTTTATTCTGATTTTTTTCCTAGGTAAGAAAAACAAGTCAGGCAGCTTTGCTGGCTCTGCTGGAGCAGGAGTTAATTGAGCGATTTGATGTGGAGACCAAAGTGTGCCCCGTCCTCATAGAGCTAACTGCCCCAGATAGCAACGATGATGTGAAAACAGAAGCTGTGGCTGTAAGTAGAAGACACTTTTTCTTTAAAAGGCAAAAATTCGTCACTGTTTTGACAAATAGGAGGTGCTCAAATATTGTAGAATGTACTATGGAGTGTATTAGGTATCATAGTAGCCCCAGAGCATTAGAAAGGTCTAGAGAGGGACATAGGCACACAAAAGAGGTCTGTGTTTTGCGGGCCCCAGTTGTGCTTTGCACCTGTGAATTAGATGGGCTCTATCGCAGGGCTCTGAGAAAGCAAGATATGCAGCAAGAGAATAATAAGTAACTGTAAATTCATTATTATGGAAAAAGAAGATGGGAGAAATAATCAGTGCAGTTAAAAAACAAAAACCCAGTATTGGATGAAGAAACATTGGTGAAACTCTAGTTGCTATTAAACACTTTTCTAGGCACTATGTAAGCACAGGAGAAAAAAATAGCTCCTGCCCTTGACATTGTGGTCTTTGGGGGAAGGATAGTCAGGCAAGTAATTTTATAATGATATATAATAAGTGATAGAAATTGTGATGATAAGAAAAACACATGAATTAAATCATGTACATAAAAAAGTCCGGTTTAACAAGTCCATCTAAAATTTCAGCTCTACTTGGAAAATGAGAGTTTACTGTTTAAACCTAAAATAGGGACATCTGGCTGGCTCAGTTGGTGGCGTGTGTGATTCTTTGTCTTAGGGTTATGCGTTCGAACCCCATGTTGGTTGTAGAGATTACCTAAAAATAAAATAAAAAATAAAACCCTAAAATAATAGCATCTTGTAGATATGAAAAGAATTACACAAAAATTGGGTAATGTTTCTGGATCATTAGGATGAATTAAGTTGTTTCTATAGTCCCCTTTCCCTTGGAAATGTCTTGATTCCATTATTTTATTTTTTAGATACTCCATACCAGTTAATAGTAAATTTAGATACTTTTCAGTAATATCACTTTTATTGAAATGAAATTCACATAATGAAAAACCATTTTAAAGTGTACAATTAAGTTAGCATTTAGTACATTCACCATGTTGTACAATCAGCACCTCTGTCACATTCCAAAGTGTAGCATTTTTTTTTTTCCCACAAATTCCTCAATGAAGAAAATCAGTTTTCGCATAACTGAGGAGAGTTTAACTTGCTTGGTTATTTTTATGGGACTTAACAATAGTGAAGCATTATAACTAATGGACTATATATCCAGCACTAGAATGAAACCCAGGATTCTTCTACAGTCGGTTTATTTATTTTATCATGTTCTGCACATCCTAGCTTTCTAGTTGTTCTCTATCTTGGAGATAATTCATTCTGATGAATTTAATTACGTTAGATCAGTGATACAGGATGTAACTTCAGATCTTTAGGGCTTGAAGATGCTTAGAAACAGTATAGAGTCAAAGAACAAAACTGGCTTTGGAATTTGGGAAATACAGATGTCACCACGAGTTGTGAGGATGCTGGGATTTTGATAAGGATTGTGTTGAATCTATAAATCAGTTTGGAGATAATCACCCACCTAACAATCCATGGTCGATTTCCCCATTTATTTAGGTGTTTTATGTTTCTCCTCAATGTTTTGTAGTTTTCAGTAGACAGCACATCTGTATTTTGTTGAACCATGTTTCTTAACATTGCTGTGAATGATACTGTTTTTAAATGTTTTCATTTCCTTGGTTCATTTTTGGTTCTGGTATATGTCCTACAAACTTCCTAAGCCCACTTATTTGTTCTAGTGGCTTTTCTGTAGAGTCCTTGGGATTTTTCTATATAGAGAATCATGTCCTGTATGAATAATGTTTTCTTTCTCTTCTCATCATGTTTGTATGGGCTAGGAGTAGGTATAGTAATAACAGACCATCAGGTGTCTTTCTGTACTAACTGGAGGGTGGAGTGGGGTATTTATTTAAATAACACTGGGCCAATTTTCAAACATAGTTCATCCTCGTTTGCCTGGACTGCGTTACCTGAAACTGCGTGTTGGAACTGGGTCCCTGTCTTCATTAGAACCGAGGGACGCAGTTCTCTTCTGCACGAGTTTCTGTTAACTTGGTACTTTGCAAGGTAAGGACTGCCTCTAGAGAGTCTTCTCTTAGCAGTACAAGTATACTGAGCCCAAATTATTCTTGTGGATCATCTTTCCTTTGAACAGTGACCATTTGTTTTCTTACTGTTAAAGTTATCAGGCAAAATAATATGATTGAAACTATACTCAGAAATGAAATTTTTCAGATTATCTCTGGGTTTACTGTGCATTTGGTAATTATTGATAGTAGTAAATATCTATTTTTCTCCCTTGAACCTGGATAAATAAGATGAATGTTGTTTGTGATGTATGCGGGAAAATGATGCCACAACCTATTTTATATTTTCTAAAGCATATACTTTTGATAAGTTAGCAGACTTAACTGGAAAAGTCTTAGTTTGAAGATGTTTTCAGTGTGCTTTTGTTCTTATCCATTTTAGATAATGTGCAAAATGGCTCCCATGGTTGGGAAGGACATTACAGAGCGTCTTATCCTCCCTAGGTTTTGTGAGATGTGCTGTGATTGCAGAATGTTTCATGTTCGAAAGGTATTTTTTAGGCATTTTGTTTGTTTAAGAACACATGGTTATAGTGGTTACTGTATTGATACGTGAAACTTAAAAGATTGTTTTAAAAGCCCTGTGTTTGGATGATTTTGAAATGTCAGTGATGCTTCTATTGTCAGGTCTGTGCTGCCAATTTTGGAGACATCTGCAGTGTAGTTGGCCAGCAAGCTACTGAGGAGATGTTGGTGAGTAGTGCAGAGATAGAGGGGTAACAGAGGGGTAAGCAGTCCATTACAGAGTAATACATCAAGTTTAAAATGCATACATTTACCCCCACATTTTATTAACACAGTCTCATGAATGCAAACCAGAAAGATAATATGACTCTGAGTTTGGGAGTTTACATTTCTATAATCTAGGCACTTGAATTGTGTTTTGATTATAGTTTGTTAAAAATGCAGATATGTGATATGTAAGGACCGTTGATGTATTTTTACCTCTCCCATTCCTACTAAACAAATCAATTGTACTCGAAGAAATCTGTAATTTTATTGCAACGCTCAAGTATTCTAGTGACAAATCTACAGCTTGTTATTTTTAAGTGGTTAGTGCCTGGGATATACATGCTTCGTGTACCAGTTAACCTACTTGAAGAGTCTCTGAAACCATCCATTAGGCAAAACAGTTTAGGTACAAACTTTTGCATGAAACTGAAGCTATGTTTGTTGTTTCTGCTTTTCCAGTCAGCAGGGCTATGAATGAGGTGTGATTTATTTCAAATTGCTGAGGTTTAGTACGCAACAGGTCTTCTAAATTATTACAGGAAAATCTAGTATTTTGAAACACTGTGAAAGCAGAAAATGAAATAAAATGAATCTCTGAAACCCGCGTTGCCTGCCTAACACACCACTGTCCTTGCGTAGCTGCCCAGGTTTTTCCAGCTTTGTTCTGATAACGTGTGGGGAGTCCGGAAGGCCTGTGCCGAATGCTTCATGGCGGTTTCCTGTGCGACATGTCAAGAAATCCGACGGACTAAACTGTCAGCACTGTTTATTAATTTGATCAGTGATCCTTCACGTTGGGTAGGGTTTTGTCTAATTCTCATTTTTGTAGAAAAATACATTTTACACAAAACATGATTTTGATTTCATGATTTAAGAAATAATTATGGTATTGGTAATTGTTTTAGGAGTAGACAGGTAAACTATATTAACTTTTTTTTTAACTGGACAAAACTTCTGTATAAATAGAAATCACATTCATTCTAAGGATATGATGTGGTATATTGATTTTCAGGCATTAAACCTTTGATAAGTCTCACCTGGCCATAGTGTAATAATTTTTGATATCTTGCTGGACTGTTTGCTACTATTTTGTTAGGGGTTTTTATATCCATATTATAAGAGATAATGGTCTATAGTTTCTTGTGGCTTTTTTTGGGAGGGTTTGTTTTGTTAACAGGGTAATAATGGCCTCGTAAAACAAGTTGGGAAGGGCTCCCTCTTTGTTTTGGGAGAATTTGTGAAGAATCAGTGTTCTCATTTAAATGTTGAGTAGACTTCAGTGATGATACTGGCTCAGTTTGGACTTTTCCTTTGTATGTAGTTTTGTTTGTTTTGTGTTTCCTAATCTCTTTACTTGTTATAGGGTTATTCAGATAATCTTCACTTGTTAGAGAGTTATTCAGATAATTTTTTCTTGAGTCAGTTTTAGTAGTTTGTCTAGGAATTTGTCTGTTTTATGTAAGTTATCTAATTTGCTGGTATTTGATCTGTAGTATTTTCTTCATAATCTTGGTATTTCTGTAACGTCAGTAGTAATGTCCCTTCTTTCTGGTTCTAGTGTCTTTGTCTCTTGGCCATACTGCTGAAGGTTTGTCTGTTCTGTTCATATTTTTAAAGCTTTAGTTTCATCAGTGTTCTCTTTATTTCTGTTCTTCATTTCATTAGCTTCCACTCTAATCTATATTATACCCTCTCCTCTGCTGCTCTTTATTTTTCCAATGTCTTGAGGCAGAAGATTAAGTTAGTAGTTTGAGATCATCCTTCCTTCTTTGAGTTACCATCCAGGGTAACTGGCTTTTAACCTGAAGAGCTTCCTTTTGTGTTTATTGTCCTATAAATGTGGTAGCAACAAATTCTGTTTCTGCTTATCTGGGTATGTCTGTATTTTGCTTTCATTTTTGAAAGATAGCTTTGTTGGGTACAGGGCTCTTGGTTAACACGGTGTTTTTGTTTTGTTTTCAGTTTCTTCGAACACTTTGTGTCTTACCCCCTGCCCTCCGGTCTCTTGTTTTTGCAGGAAGTTAGGTTTATTTTATTGGGGTTCTCTTGTAAGTGGTATGTCACTTTCCTTTTGCCACTTTCAATATCTTCTTGCTTTTGACTTTTGGCATTTTCACTATGATGTGTTTGTAGATATCGTAATTTATCCTACATGTTGAGCTGCTTTCATGTGTAAATTACTGATTTTTAATAAATTTGGGAACATTTTGAGCCATCATTTCTTCAGATATTGTGTCTTTTCTCTCCTGGTATTCCCATTACACATATAATGATGCACTTAATGGAGTCCCACATTTTCTGAGATTCTGTTCATTTTTCCTCATTTTCTTTTTTCTCTCTGTTCTTTGCTAAACTTTATTAATATACCTTGAGTTCCCTCATTTTTTTTCCTACCAGTTCAGAACTACTTAAGTTTATGTGGTGAGTTTTTATTTCAATCATTATACCTTTCAACTCAAGAATTTCCATCTGGTTCTCTTCATGTCCTCATACCTTCCTTTACTTCTTTACTCATGCTTTCCTTTCATTCTGTGAACAATTTATAATGGTCACTTCGAAGTTTTTTTCTAAGTCCAACATCTTAGTGTTCTCACACGTAGTTTCTGTCCCTTAATTTTTCCCCCAGTCTATGGATTATACTTCTTTGTTCCTTTGCATGCTTTATAATTTTTTTTAACCTGGTCATTTTAGATAATACAGCAGATTTGGGTACTTCTATCCCTCTCTGGGGCTTGTTACTGGTACTTGTTTGTTTAGTGACTGGCTGGAATGTGTTAGTGGATTCTTATTCCCCCCCTCCAGGAGGCACAGCTCTGGGCATGTCTACATGCCTACCTCCCATCCTGGGATGACCTCATTTTGATGAGAGTGGGAGGGACAGCAGCCCCAGGTTCTCTTGGCTCATCTCTCCTGGCCTTACAAGCTGGGGCAGGGACTATATTCTGAGTATTCTCAGAGCCCAGGGTTCTGAGCCACGTCCAAGGTAGAGCTTCCATTCTACCAATGGGCATTGTGCAGAAGAAGGTATGCCCAGCAGGTAGCAGGGGACAGGATGATAAACCTCAAAGGCCCTTGGCTGGAGGCTAGAAGAGAGGGAGGCCGTTGCTGCTGGCTGCAACAGTCTGCACTAGAGGTTCTGCCTCCCTGGTTCAAATACCACGGACTGGCTTTACTGAATATTTATAGATATTCCCTCTTTTGTTGTCTGCCCTAAGGGCTATTTCCAGAGGTTTTACTTGGTGGGGTTTTGGGTGGGTTGTTTTTGGGTCCCCCCCCCCCCATTTTCAACAATTTCACTGGAGAGTGGGTGAGTGGCTCTCCTTATGCTGTCGTGCCTGAAATAGTTCTCAGGACCTTACCATATTCATTTTCCAGACAGACGCCACAGAGAGGAAAGACTATTAAGCCTTAAGCACGACTTTGTTTAAAATGTATAAGATTGTTAGAAAAAATTATGTGGCGTATTTGGAATTTTCATTTTGACTTTATCATTGTCTTGGCTTAGTGATATACAGTATTTCCTGCTAATTTGGGAATATGTTTATATTAAAATGAAGGACTCCTGGGGGTGCCTAGGTGGCTCAGGTCATGATCCCAGGGTCCTAGGATCGAGCCCCCCATCGGGCTCTCTTAGCAGGGGGCCTGCTTCCTCTTCCCCCTCTGCCTGCTTCTCTGCCTACTTGTGATCTTTCTCTCTCTGTCAAATAAATAAATAAAACTTTAAAAAAAATGGACTCCTGAAATCTGTCATTTGAAGTGTATATAAATCCGGTAAGGGTTTGAGACAACTTCAGAGTTTTAACAGTATCCAGAGTAGACTAAACTCTTGCATATAATTTTGAAAGTTACCTTTTATGTTTTTATAGAAGTAACATTTTATTGACTGTAAAGGAGAAAAGGACCTGTAAGTTCACACATAGGTTTCTCTTTGCTATCTTGTATATAATTCTAGCCTTTTTAAAAAAATCAATTGAATCATTTTTATCTGCTTCCCCCAGAAGGTAAATACTAATAATAGGCAAACTTCACATGTATTTGCCTTTGCAGAATTTACACATGTCATGTAATCGTTGGTTTTTTTTTTTTTTTTTAAGATTTTATGTATTTATTTGACAGAGATCACAAGTAGGCAGAGAAGGCAGGTAGAGAGAGGGGGAAGCAGGCTCCCTGCTGAGCAGAGTGCCTGATGCGGGGCTTGATCCCAGGACCCTGGGATCATGACCTGAGCCAAAGGCAGAGTCTTAACCCACTGAGCCACCCAGGCTTCCCTCTAATCCTCATTTTAAACCATGGAAAAGGTATTGTTATGCCTCAAGGGCAAGGTCTTAGAGAAATTGGTTTGCAGTTTCTTCCATCATAATTGCCTCTTTCAGATTGTGTCCTCCTCCTGCTTCCTTTCATAAAACCTCTCTCCCCCAGTTTTTTTTTTAATCAAGATTATAAAAATAATACAGGAATATAATATGAAATAAAATTCTATAACCCTTTTTTCTGCTCTCCTACTTGAGACATTCATGGATGACAGTAGTATGTGCATCCAGATTTTTGTGAAATACATTTTAAGTCGGTATTCTGTTTCTGATAAGTGCGTCCATAGTTCTGACACATCTGTCTTGTTTCCTTGTAGAAAGCAGATTATAGTCTTGCCTAGCAGAAAACATGAAATGGATTTATCACATTTTGTCAACTTTATTGCTCTATATTTTCTGTTTGGCAGTCTTCATTTTCTTCATTCTGTTTTCCTGGAAAATGCTGCAGGATATCCTTTAGTTCCATGCAGATGCTCTGTGGGATCTCATATTTATATTCTCAGGGCATAAATATTAAAGGTAGATTTTAAAAAATTGAAAGTAAAAAAAGTTTATGAAGAATTCTAAATCCTAGCAGAAGTATGATAGTTCTGAATGTGGGAAAGCTTTGTAGAAAACACCTTATTATTATTTTAACCATACTTAGTATATGGTAAGTAGACTGTTAATAATCCCTTAATTTTAAGTTTTATTACTGTCCTCTTTTTCTTTGTAGGTTCGCCAAGCGGCTTTTCAGTCTCTGGGACCTTTCATATCTACTTTTGCTAATCCATCTAGCTCAGGCCAGTATTTTAAAGAAGAAAGCAAAAGCTCAGAAGATACATCAGTAGAAGACAAAAATAGGTATGATTTCTTTAAACTTCACTTTCCAGCTTTATTGCTTGTAAACATATTTTTCGTTTCTTCTATAATGTTCTTTTTGGAGACTTTGCTATTTCTCTTGATTGTAAAAATGGGTAGATACTTTTAAAGAGCTATATTTTAAATATATTTGTTAAATGTCTCTTTGGTTAGTTACGTCTTAAGTGAGAAGGCGAAGACACGTATAGCACACTGAACTTGGTCCTGGCCATAGAGAAAAGTATAAATGACAGATGTGATGATAATTTTTGAATGTTTATTTAATAAATTAGTTACCTAGTAAACCATTTATTGACATTTGGAATAGATGAAGTAATTGTTCTACAGTTTAAAGTGTTTAGTGTTTTAAATTCCTAATTTAGGAATATGTTTTAGTATGTAGTCCATTTCTTACTATTATTTTTCCTTTCAGTCAATTAATTTAATTGTGGATCTTGAACTCTGCCTGCAGAATGAGGATTATAATCTCTCAATTTAGGGAGAAAGTATTATAATGATCAGCTGATGTACTGATTAACTAGAATATCAACTTTAAGTGTAATAGGGCAACTAATTTTAAAATAAAAAGGACAACTCTGATTTTTATTTTTAAATTTTTTTACATTAAAAAATTCCGAGTTTCCGTTTTTAAAACTTATTATACTATATACTCAGGGGAAAAAAGAAATCAAGCCTAATTTAGCGCATGGGAAATACGCACTTTTACAGGTGTGCACTTGAAATAATTTAGAACCTGTTTTTGAAACAGTCCCTACTATAATGCTTGAGTTACCATAGTGTCTTGTCCCTCCCTTGTCATGATGCTAATGGACATTTTCTTCTGTAGGTCTTGATACTGTGATATTTGCTTTCTTGGTGTTTTGATTTGGCAGTTCTTCCTTTCTTCTCTGCTGCCTTGTTTTACCTTTTTGCCCGTTCTCCTACTGTCCTGCTGAATAGCCAAACAAACCTGAGGTACTGTTTTTTGTAAAGGAAGAAAATCACTCTAAACCTGTCTTCCTAGCAAGCAAATTCTGTCAGTTCTTTTGAAAAACAGCTGCTGCAAGGAGTTTGACAAAAATGATGATGGGGGGAAATGTTATGTTTTTCATTTTTAAAGTCCGTGTACCTTGTTCACTACCTAATTGTGCAAAGACTATTACTTTATTTTTAAATCTGGAGAGAGTCTAGTAAGTGAAAATATAAATTTACAGAGAATTTTATAGGTCAGGGGTCAGCAAACTTTCTGTAAAAGGCCAAATAATAAATATTTTCAGTCTCTGCCACGACTGCTAACCTCTGCTTTGTAGGATGAAAGCAGCCATAAACCGCATGTAAGTGGATGGGCTTGGCTGCGCACCAGTAAAACTTTACTGACAAAAATAGTTGGAGTGGCTACCGTGGCCAGTGGTTGTACTGACTGCCTGTGTAGGACATTACTGGAAGAGATATTTAAAGGTAGTTATCTTTTACCTACAAACCTTAATTCCTCTTCCATTGTAATGAGGTATGTCTTAATGTCAAGTCAGTACTTTTTGTAGCATTGTATTTTCACTATATTGTTAGACTTTATTGAATCGTGTTACTGGTAGAAGGGAGGGAAGAGAGAATTTCTGGCTAAGGAATGAGTTGTATTAAATACCGTAGAAGTAGTTTTACTTCCTAACTTCAAAAAAAAAAAACAAAAAACAGTCCTATGTATTATTAGTCTCAGAACCATTAGTTTGTTTACCCTCTTAAATACTGCACTGGCTTTTGTTCTAAGCTGTCTTAAAACTTATTTCGTTATTTAAGATTGGTTGGTTGATTATATGGAAATTAATTGAGCACCTACTACGAACCAGCTCCTATAGATAGAAATCAAGAATTCGGTTCCTGTTCTCAAGGTCCTCTCCAGTTTTCCTAAAATTCAGATCTCCCAAACAAATATCTTACAAAGTAAGCAAGGTTTTGACAGTCTGTTTCCCCTACTATTTATTACATAGTTTTCATCTGATCCTAGAAACATTTAATATCACTTAATACTCTCTGAAGCCTTTATTGATTTTAGATCTCTGACTTTGTATACCAGATTTATCTTTCACCCTAGATTGGGCTACTACTGCTTCTTGGAAGGTGTTAATAAAGGCTACTTCCAGAAGCAGAGTTAAAAATTTGTATTTGCATTTTTTAAATTATGTAAAATAAGCATTCCCTTGTTTTCTTAGTTGAGCAAACTGTTACATTGTTCTCTGAATACACTTATATTCTTTTGGTTCTCTTTGCTTTCTGTTTGAGAAGCTGTTCTGTTCCATCCGTACCCATTTAACAAAGTGAACTATCAGTGTTTGCTGTCTGTAGACTCACTACTTCCACTAATCTTTTCTTGAGGTTTTTTTGAAATTCAGAGCTTTTGCATCTTGGCTGTAGCACTGGAGTGAGAGCACTGATTTCTGATCCCATCTTTTCAATTGTGTATTCACGTGTATCCCACAGCAGACTGCAGGTCCGTTTGCTGTGGCAGTTGAGTTCTGAGTTTTTGCGTGTAGAGCACCTTCACTGGGCCTGGCACAGAGTTGGCATATAATAAACCTTGAATGAATCGTAAGGGAATCTTTAATCTCAGAAGCCTTAAATAGGTATACTACTTCTGTCACTTTTTATCAGTCCAGCATAATGCCAGCTGTGTGACAGTAAAATTGATGGTTGCTGGTACAAATTTGGAAATATTTCAGTGATGTGAAAACTTCATTCGGCTAATTCACGGTACAGAAAAGAGGTATGTCCTTTGCTTTTGTGTCAGGACACACTGCTGCTTGACCAGCTGTGCCACTGGTCATTTTCTCCTGGAAATACGTGCACTGATTTTTCTAGGCCCACAGTCTGTAGTCCAGAACTCGGAGGGTATTAATAGAAAACTTATGTAGACACTACAGGAAAATTAAGGTTCTGGTAGAGAAATTTCTGGCTTACCCTGATACTCTTGTTACTTGTATCTCTTAGGAAATGGGGTAATTCTCTCATTTGGCAGAATCAGAGTTCTTTTCAGCCTTCGAAATGATTTTTACTTGTATAATAGCATTTGGAAATCTGACAGCTAAGAATATCAGAATTTTAGTATTTAGCAGCTGGATCTTGCATTGACTAACTCCCAGCTCTGGGAAAAATTAGTATTCAGATAACTTATGTTTTTGCCAATTCATACATGTAGTAGTTCTTCCCAGAATTTACCAGTAGGGAAATTTTTTTTTTTTGTCTCCTTAAAACCATGCTAGGAGTTTTAAGTTTGGACAGACTAGTAATTGTAACATTAGACAAATAGAATGACTTCGCCTTTCTTTTTTTTTTTTTTTACCCCTAAGAGTATTAAAGTTTAATCGTAATGGCATGGTGAGAATAGTAATTAAGAAATTTTAGGCCCAAGGAATAGTTTTGCATACTGAATGGCCTTTGTTGTTGTTGTTTGAGAGAGGGAGGGAGAGGGGCAAAGGGAGAGAGAGAATCTTAAGCAGGCTCCACTCCCAGTACAGAGCCCAAGATGGGGCTCCATCTCACAACCCTGAGATCATGACCTGAGCTGAACGCAAGAGTCAAATGCTTAACCCACTGAGCCACCCAGGTACCCTCTGAATGGCCTTTTTAATTAGGTTCTTTTGTGTATTTTAAATGCAGGGTTTTTTAAAAATTTATCAGATAATAGATGAAGACTTACAAGTTTTAACCCATTTGGTCTCCATTCCCACCAAACAGTATCTTGTTACTCTAATTTTTTACATTTAGTTTTCATAACAGAAAAACTGCAAAAATAGCACAAAGAATCCATATGCCCTTCAGATTCTCGAAATGTTAACCTTCTACCATATTTGCTTTATTGATCTTTTTTCTGAATACTTTGAGGTTTTAGACATGATATTCTTTTTTGCCTTTCTTCAGTATTTCACTGTGTATTTCCTCAAAATGTAGGCATTTATACATAACCATGGTTCGATTACCCAAATTAAGAAATTAACATAGGTATATTATGTCATCTAATCTGGAGACTTTATTCAAATTTCAGCAGTTATCCCACTAAATTTTTTAAAACAGAAGATGTCTTTTAATAAGGATCATGTGATTGGCAAATATGTAATTCATGTAGAAGACATTTATTTGGCATAACAGTATTAGCTTCAAGAACTGTTCTGGAGAGGGAAGGAATATTAAAGGTTGCCTAAGCCTGTGTCTCATCCTAACTACTAAGGAGTAAATGTGGAATCATGGGGGCCTTGAAAGGCTCACAGGTTTAGGGCAATGCAGTGCTGGCCGTGGGACAAGGACCTGGGAACTCGGGGCCCAGCTCACACGCAGATGTAACTACTCTGTTGTACATGCACACTGTCTATTTTGCAGTCCTAAGAATAGAAGGGAAACACCAGAAGTAAAATGCTGTCATTATGCGGTACATTTTCAGATGACTTCTTACATATTTTTTCTATATTTTTTTCAAGTTTCATTAAAATAATCATGTGTTTTTAAAAAATACATATTTTTGAAAATAATGTGAACATTACCCTGAGATAAAGTGCAGAGGGCAGTTGATAATTTCATGGGAATGTATATGGTGGCTACTAAAACTAGGAGAGGACACCAGTGTTCGTGTCGCCTTCTGTTTGCTCAGTCCTGGTGAGCCTCCTCTTGAGTACCTTTCACTGTGTGTACGTAAAGGCACACGCTGTTTCCAGGAGCTCCTTTCATTTTTTTTCCCCACACTCAACTCTCAAATTTACCTACACATCCATCCTTACTTCCCTCTCACGTTTCTTATCAAAGAGGTGTCTTGGCCCCTTGAATCTGTGCACCTCTGTTCTTGAGCTCACATTCTTCTTTCTTCTTAGAAGGACAGTGCTCCTATCAGGGATAGCATCTCCTGTGCCTGCAGTTCCTACAACTCTTCTGGCCTCTTTCTCTATGGCACCCCGAAAAGAATGCCTTCACTCTGATACTCATTGTGTCTTTCATGTTTCCATTCCTCTTTCTTGCCTCACACCCATCTAAGTCCTGCACACGGCCTTCTGAACTGATGACCTTCAACTCAGTCCCTGGTATCTGACCGGTTTCCCATGGACGTCCCCCTCCCCCAGAATGCAACCCAGGTACCTCACTCAGCCTGTCCAGACCAGAACCCATTAGCCCTCTCGTTACACTGTTCTTGTGTTTTCTACTTTCAGTTGGTGCTACCACGATCTGTTCTGTCGTACTAGCCAGAAATTTGGCAGTCTTTCCAGATTCCTCCCGTTGTTTCCCATCTCCAGCCTGCGATAAATCAGTAAACAGATCCTGTTGGTCCGGTCATCATTTGAATGCATTTACTTCTTCATAGCCCCAGATGTACTGCCTTCATTCACCAAGTCCTCACTGGCTCTCACTGCCCTTCTGGAGTTCCCACCTCCTACTCACCTCCACCCCATTTTCCACCCTGCTTCCAGGATGTTTTCTCAAAAATTAAAGCATCTAAAAATGCAATTCTCCTAATTCCTGCCTTATTCCATGTAGCCCATAGGAGCCATTCCAGAGGTGTTGGGTATGCAGTACAGTGGCTCTGGCAAAGTTCTTCACCCTGGTCACCACTGTTTGCTTCTCGGAGCCATAAGAAACACGGCTGTTTTCAGAGTGTGTTACATATTTTAGGTCATGCTTGCCTTTGCATATGCTTTTCCTCCCTTGAAGACATGCTCTTCCCCTTAGCCTTGTAAATGTTTACTGGCTCTTCTAAGCACTGGTCCTGTCATTTCTTCTAGGCCTTTTTATCTCAGCTGCATCCCGCTTCCTGTGCTCGGTGTGCTTCTGTATTTTCCACTCTGGTGGTGTTACTTGCTTACGTGTTTGGTTCTCTTGTTTGCCTCTAATTTAATCTCGCTGACCAGACCTGCATCTTTTTCACATGTGAATCCTCAATACTGGCTTCGTTCCATGGCTCTTAGTAGGTGCTCAATACATGTTTGTTAAATTTAACAGTCAAATAAAAGATAGGAGATAAACATTAAAACTTACTGTAGTGCTTTAGTTTAGATAACGGATGGTGGTAAACAGTGGACTTTAATTGAGGAGTTTGTAACCATCTGCCCTTATCAACTAAGTCATGACTATTTTGGGAAAACCTTTGGGAGTAGAGCTGGAAAGTGTGGAAGAAATTTTTTAAAAAACTTCATTTACACTAAAATGGATTTTAATACTTTGTGAGATAGCAAATAAGGATCTTTTCTAATACTGCACAGAGGTTTTTTTCCCTTTTCTTTTTTATAAAAGCAAATGGGTTTTAATTCTCAGCTTTTCAGTACATCATTGGAGCAGTGGCAATACCATGATCCTAAGAATCAGATCATTTTTTAAGTGTGTTGTAGGAATTTATTTTCCTACAATTTTTCTTTAGTTTATTATTGAAATTAGCCTGGTATTTAAGAATCCTGGGATTCTACAATGTTATTTTTTCCAATTCATGTAATGCTTAAATATCTAGACTTATGCTTAACAGATGTTCACATCTCTGAGTACAGAACAGCTGATGGAAAAAGAAGCATTACCAGTATATACACTACTCGATTTGTATGGATAATCTGTAAATTTAATATTGAACTTGTCTAAATACTTTATGTAGTGCATCTCATTGATTTTTTTTTTCAGTAATTATTTTTACACTTTCATTTTTTTTTTCCCCCAAATGAAACAATAAAAGGATCAAAGATCAAGAAGTTCCAGAGGATGTACAGATCAGGCCAGAGGATGTTTCTTCAGATCCCAGTATTAGTAATTCCAGTGTCAAACTGGAAAACATGGTGGAAGATCATGCTGAAACATCTAGGAAATCTCCAGGTGAAATAAGTGTCCCAATGGACAGCTCTTTACTTTGTACTTTGTCCTCAGAATCTCATCAGGAAGCAGCTAGTAATGAGAATGATAAAAAACCTGCTAACTACAAATCTGCATTACGGCCAGAGAGTGGCGCCAGTTCACCAGATTCAGCTCTCTTAGATCAGGAATTGTACAACTCCTTCCATTTCTGGAGGACTCCTCTTCCTGAAATAGATCTAGACATAGAGCTTGAGCAGGGCTGTGGGAATACTCTCAGCCCAGAGAGACCAGAAGAAACCTCTGAAGTCACCACACCAGGTTCTTCAAATATCACTATGGCCACCAGAAAGGAACTTGAAGAAATGATAGAAAACCTAGAGCCGCACATTGATGATCCAGACGTTAAAGGTACGGAAGAGTCTATCAAGTTCTTTACTCTAAAGCAGATATAAAATATTATTTGCCAACTCTTTTCCCAGAGAAATTGCCTTTTAAAAATTTATTTTCGCCATCATCATCGTCTTGATAAATACAATTAATCTGGTACTTAGGAAGTTTCGTTTAGATGAGCTCATCACTGTGTTGCTAACTGGAGCACACACACAGATTTGTTGATTTACAGATCACTCTCCCTGACATCGTCACAGTTGTTCAAACAGTGCTTTCCAGTTTTAGTCTGGACCCCTGCCTTAACTATTTCATTCTGGGTCTCATTAACTTTTTTATAAAATAGTAGATACAGTGTATTTTAAGGAAGGACTGTGGTCTATTAACAGTAGACAGAGCTGTTTATGGAATATGTTTTAAGAGCTATGAACATTTATAACGGTCATTTGGATTTTGGTTTCTCAGTTTCGACTTTTTTCCATGGGGTTACACATCTGTCACCCAGATTCTTTCATGGTGGACAACGGCCTTAAAGGTTGTTCTGTGTTAAAAAGGGCCCTCTTACGAAGGGGAAATGTGTTCTAAGTCAGTCGGTGGGAAATGAGTCAACCTGAGGCATTGTTCTGCCTGCTGGGGCTTGGGACCCGGTTTAAGGTCCGTGGGGCCGGGACCAGGTGCAGGTGTTGTCTTTTCCTTTGAAGAGTAAAGCCCTGCTTGTGACTCTCTATAACCATCCAGTGAAATCTGAATTTCACAAAGCCGATTTTGGAAAATCTCCCATAACTACAAATCTTCAGATCGTCTATCACTTTGTGGACTGAATAACTTTCCCTCTCTTTCTTTCTCTCCCTTTTTTTTTTTCTTTTTTAAGATTTTATTTATTTATTTGACAGAGATCACAAGTAGGCAGAGAGAGAAGGGGAAGCAGGCTCCCTGCTGAGCAGAAAGCCTGATGCGGGGCTCGATCCCAGGAGCCTGAGATCATGACCTGGGCCGAATGGCAGAGGCTTAACCCACTGAGCCACCCAGGTGCCCCTCTCTTCCTCTTTCTTTTCCTTTTCCTTTCCTTTCCCTTTTCCTTTTTTTACCTTGTTAGTTTCAGAAGCTAAAATTTCTAAACTGTCAGTTTGCTAAGTGTTGGGAAATGCCCATTTGTAAAGCAGATAACATGGTAGATAGCTTCAGTATTCTTACAAAAACATACAAAATCTGTTGTGTTTAAACTTTGAAAATTGCATCTGTGGTGGTTAAATTCTCAGTTATCTTTATTGGCTTTAATTTGTCACTTTTAAAGATTTCCTGTTGTAATTTTAAACTTGGAGAAAAATGACTTGAGGGAAGAGCAAGTTCATGTCCTTGATTGTTGAACATTAATTTAACCGGCAAATGGTCAGTTTCATTTTTTTAGCCTTTTATTTTTTGGGATTTAGTTTACATCAGTAGAATCCAGCTTTCTGAATGGACACTTGTGTGAGATTAGACACACAGCCAGTTGTAACCACCCCACTGTCAAGATACAGAACCATTCCATCGCCCCAGAACATTCCTTCACACACCTTTAGTCAGTCCTTCCTTTCCTTCCCAGCCACTAGCAATCACCAGCCCGCCTTCTGTCCCTGTGATTTTGCCTCTTCCAGAAAACAGCATAAATAGAATCAAGTAATAAAAGCCTTTTTTGAGTCTGATTTCTGTTCCTTAGCATCATGTATTTGAAATTTATCCTGGTCATTCTGTGTATCACTAGTTCATTCCCTTTTGTTTAATTATTTTTATCATTCCTGTTTAATATATTCTGCAGCAAGGGCAAGAACAGAGGATGGAATATTTCCAATAGAATATTGTATTTTTTAAATCTCTCATGGTAGATTATTTTTTATGAAAACCTTACAGCCTTGCTTTCTTTGCTCATTCTTCAGTGTGGCTCCTGTCACTGATGTTTACCCCGTGACCCAATAGTCTGCGTTCTAGGACGGCTTGACGAGGTAGAGGGTACTGTGGTTTCTGTTTCCTAGCACCTTCATCAGAATCTTACCCAGGTCCTTTGTCTCCTCCGCCCCAAATGGGGCGCATGGAGACCCGGAGAACTGCACCTGAAACCCGGACTCTTCACAGCGGAGGGTACTCAACGCTTGATAAACATTTGTCTTTACAGCTTTTAGCTTTAAAAAAAGCTTTTAGGGGGCGCCTGGGTGGCTCAGTGGGTTGGGGCCTCTGCCTTCGGCTCAGGTCACGATCCCAGGGTCCTGGGATCGAGCCCCGCATCGGGCTCTCTGCTCGGCAGGAAGCCTGCTTCCTCCTCTCTCTCTCTCTCTCTCTCTGCCTGCCTCTCTGCCTAATTGTGATCTCTGTCTGTCAAATAAATAAAATATTAAAAAAAAAAAAAAAAAGAATAAGCATGCCAAAAACATGCTTCACATAAAAAAATTTAAAAAATTTAAAAAAAAAAGCTTTTAGCTTTAACAGCCCTACTATTTGTCAGTTTATTCAGTTTGTTAGACTTCAGTAACACATATTTTGAATCAATCTTATGCTCCATTTTTATGAGAAAGAGATCACTAGCTGGGCTTTTTAGGGCTATTGTAGGAGTGCTCACTGCATTCCAGTACCCAGATCTCTGACGCATTAGAGCACTTAACAGATGGTAATTGAAATATTTGAATGAGCTATGTTTAAAAAATTTTTAACAAATAAGCTAAAAGTGAGAGCGTGCCTTTTCAAAAAGACCTGTGTGTACATGCCAGTTAGAGGATCCGACTTTGTTTCAGAAGGCAGCTAATCCTGTTTCACTTAAGATAGGACTGTGAATATGTGGGCCGCAGGTGAGTGATTTCAGTACAAGTACTGAATGGCGGTATAATCCAGTCTTCCTGGTTCAGCTCTTACCCCCCGCTGTAATCGACATCTGCTGCCCTGTTCTTGCTGTGCGTAGTGACCACCCTCTCGGGACATAAGCCTGGACTCATTGGTGCGCTCAGCGTTACTGAGCACCAACTGCTGTGCGAGGTCCTTTCCTCAGCACTAAATGCACAGCAGCAGCAAAGAGACCAAAATCCCGGCCTCGCGGAGCCCAGGAGACGGACCCCTCACACGTAAACCGCTGTGCGTCTCGCGTGCTGCAGTAAAACGTAGACAGGCAGTGTTGGGCATTTTCTCCTTGGGCTACAGAATTTCTGAATTTTTTATTTCATGGCAATCTGAGGGCGTGTTTAACTTGTGTTAAAATTTCAGTAACTATGCCTTAATTTTCCCTAGTGTCGGAAGGTGTTTTGAAGGGCTGTACCTTAATTTTGGACATGTCCTCATTTCTAATTCTGCCATTGTGGGCAGCCGCACACTGTCAGGAAATGGCCACCTTTTGAACTAGTTCTGTTGCATGTGTAAGTTGTTCTTGTCCACTGGCCTGTGGAGTGGTAAAGCCGCACTGCCCAGAGAAGGCGTTTTAGGGCATATGCTCAAGTCGAGTTTCGACACTCCCAAGCCTCCACGTCACTTGTCCCCTTCCCCCTCGTCGCTAGCGGCTAGTGGGCATTATTGGGAAGCAGTGACAGGGCTGGGGCCGCTACTTATAAGGCGACTTTTGCTTCCCAGTCTTGCTCATTTAACTCTTCCCTTCGTCAAAACATTCATGGGGTTTTTTTCTTGGTGGATTTTTGGTCAGAAAAACTTAAGTGTTTCCAGCAACTAGAGAGATGCTCTTGTCAGAGAAAGAGAGCCCTTTCTCAGTGCTAGAACAGAAACAGCCTGTCTGGTGGGCCAAAGGGGGAAGTAGGAAAACAAGAAGGTGTAAGTGATCTTTTCTGAAATACCTACCTAGGGAATTTGAGGGTTTTCTGGCTTTGTCTAGGGCAGTTTCAAAATCTCTAGCATTTGGGATCACCAGGCTGAACTCTGAGTAGGGTTGAACTCTGCGTAGCATTACTGATGCCAGCTTGGCTTACTCTAGCTAGACTCATAGACTACAAAAGGAAAAAATGCCCAAGCTCACCAAATACAGATTTTTACCCGTATAGACCCCGTAGAAGAATTGAGCCATTTTGGCAGCCACGGTCAGAAAAATCCTCTTATTCCCTGATTGAAATCAATAAATTATTAGGAATTTGTGACCAACCACCAGTATGTTGTATAAAAGTGAGAGATTGTTATAAAGTTTTAGCTTAACTGTACTAGCTTCTTCAGGGAAGGAGTAAAATTCCAAGTTTCTAGGTTGTCTCTACTTCTGAGCATGACTCACTGGGGACTCTGTTTCTTCATGAGTCCATTATGAAACCAGCCTTGGTTCCTGGGATTTCAGTCTATATATATATATAT